CGACCGCAGCGTCTCTCGAGTAACACGTGCACTCCGTGGCGATACGCGGCAGAGACTGACCAGTGGCTTAATTGACAGCGACATCCCATAAGTAAAAAAACGCCGGCTAGGAGAGGAGAAGGGGGGACGCCGAAGAAGGAAAGAGGGAGGAGGGGGAAGCAGCACAGACGGAACTACCGCCTGGAGCAAGCACCGCCACTGCTAAGGAGAACAATCTCCAAATAAAGAGTGGCTCATATCCGCCGAAGGAGGTGCGGAGAGGAGGGAGGAGGGACAGCAGGAAGGAGGGAGGGAGGAAAACTGCACAGACGGAGCCAACGCCAGGCGCAAGTTTCCGCCACTGCTCAGGAGAACACTCCCCCAACAGAGTGTGGCGTGTTTCCCGCCGTAGGGGGCGCAGGGCAGGCCGCAGGATAAACTATGTCAAATGTCCTGGCAGCGCACGCCAGGAAGCCTCAGGAGGAGGAGAAGGAGAAGGAGGAGAAGGAGGCACCAGGTGCCGTGAAACTGTTTTGGATAAAGTCGCCAGTGCGCAAGGAGGAGGGGAAGGAGGAGGAGCGCCTACGAGACCGCTCCGAGCCAGCGGCCGCTGCGAAAACTGAATGTGGTACGCTACAACTGATGGCCGAGAACGCACATCACAAAGATCGGAGGTTGGGGAATGAGATCGCAGTGGAACGGAGACCCCCAACCCGGAAATCGTTTCGTTTCGTTCGTGTCGTGCGTGCGGGCGAGGCGAAGCTGCGTGGGCGCGCGAGAGGAATGAGCCCGCCGTTGCTAGGGCGAAGTCAAGACAAATGATTATCCCCCATCCGTCTGTCCGTCCAGCGGTGGCTCGCGGTGTCCCGCGGTGTCCCGTGGTGTCCCGTGGTGCCACGTGGTGTCCGCTGCTGCTAGGGCGAAGTCAAGACAAATGATTCTCCCCCGTCCGTCCGTCCGTCCGGCGGTGGCTCGCGGTGTCCCGCGGTGTCTCGTGGTGTCCCGTGGTGTCCCATTGTGTCCGCCCTTGCTAGGGCGAAGTCAAAACAAATGATTATTCCCCGTCCGTCCGTCCGTCCGGCGGTGGCTCGCGGTGTCCCGCGGTGTCCCGTGGTGCCCCGTGGTGTCCCGTGGTGTCCCGTGGTGTCCCGTTGACTGGGATCGACAGTGAGATCGATAGTAAGATCGATACTGAGATCGATGTGGTGCCCCGTGGTGTCCCGTGGTGTCCCGTGGTGTCCAAAAAGTGTGATCGATAGTGAGATCGATAGTGAGATCGACGGGGTTCCCGTGGTGTCCCGTGGTGTCCCGTTAAGTGAGATCGATAGTGAGATCGATACTGAGATCGATACTGAGATCGATACTGAGATCGATGTGGTACCCCGAGGTGTCCCGTGGTGTCCCGTGGTGTCCCAAGGAGTGAGATCGATTGTCAGACCGATAGTGAGATCGAGAGGTGACCCGTGGTGTCCCGTTCATCGATAGTGAGATCGATACTGAGATCGATAGTGAGATCGACAAGTGTCCCGTGGTGTCCCGTGGTGTCCCGTGGTGTCCTATGGTGTCCCGTTGAGTGAGATCCATAGTGAGATCGATAGTGAGATCGATAATGAGATCGAGAGGTGACCCGCGGTGTCCCGTGGTATCCCGTGGTGGCCCGTGGTGTCCCGTGGTGTCCCGTTGAGTGAGATCGATACTGAGATCGATAGTGAGATCGACAAGTGTCCCGTGGTGTCCCGTGGTGTCCCGTGGTGTCCCGTTGAGTGAGATCTATAATGAAATCGATTGAGTCAGATGTTGGTTCCCCCCCCTCTGCCCCCCCCCACGACCTCCTTATCACCCGAAGGGTAGTCGTATAGGTTATTACTTTGAACGTGTCCCGGCCGCGTGGCCGATAGAATTGGCGCATCCCCAACAGAGGGTCTACCTATCACCAAAGAAATGGCCGGAAATGGGTTCAAATCTGTATCGAGCGCCGGGGGGATCCCATTCTGTTAATTGAAATCCCGGCCGGAAAAGTGTGCAAATCTGTACCGAGCGCAGGGGGGACCCCATTTTGTTAATTGAAGTCCCGGCTGGAAATTGGTTCAAATCTGTACCGAGCGCCGCGGGAACCCCATTTTGTGAATTGAAGTCCCGGCTGGCCAAGGCAGGGTTCCCATAGCATTCACATCCAATTCACTGAAATCGGCCACTGGCACAAATCGCTCCCGAACGGAGGAGTGTACCCCTGGCGCCTTCCCCTTGGGGGTGCTGAAACCCGCGCCTCGCTCGAGACATCCTCAGAATTTGCTCCGTCATCACCATCATCAGCATAATCATCAGGATCATCATCATCACCAGCATCATCATAAAATAACAAGACACACCATAACGTAGCGTAACATGGCATGACATAACATTGCATAGCACCGCATAATGTAACACAGCATGACATAATATAACATCGCATGACAGAACGTGTAGTGGTAAAACATAACATAACATACCATGTCGTAACACAACGCAGCATAACATTGCATATGGTAACACACTATCACCTAAGGTAACACAACATAACATGCAATAGCATAACATGAGGAGGAGGAGGAGGGAGGAGAAAGAAGGAGTTGGCGCGGTCTGAATATGAACAAGAAACACATCCTTTGGATATGGGAACCAGAATCCCAATATTTGGACATGGGGAAAACGTAAAATAACCTGCCATACCATATCACAGCATGACGTAACCTACCATAGCATAGCATAACATGCCATAACAGAACATGAAATGCAACATAACATAGAATAGCATAGCATGACATACAAAAATATAGCCTGAGGAGGCGGAGGGAGGGGTGTTTGAGGAAGTTGGTGCGGTCGAAGTGGTAGCATCAAGAACCTCATCCTTTGGATATGGGGAATAAGAAGAACCCCATCCACTGGATATGGGGGGGTGACATAGCATAGTATAGCATAACATAACACACCATAGCATGACATAGCATGCCATAGCATGGCGTCGCATACCATCTCATACCATATCATAGCATAGTATAGCAGAATACCGTATCATAAAACACAGCACATCATAGCATGTCACACTGAAAAAACACTATACCAGTACATGGCAAAACGTAGCATGGCAAAACATAGCATAATATTACGTAGCATAGCAGAACAAACCAAAGCATCACATAATATACTATGACATGTCATCACATTATATGAGCAGGAAGAGGTGAGGGTGTTCCCTCTCGGCGCGATCAGAGTAATGACAAGAAGCCCATCTTCTGGATATGGGGAACAAGACACCCATCCTTTGGAGATGGGAGAGGGAACTGAATGAGAAACATATGTGGGTGAGTCGGCATGAGGAGTGAGTATGAGTACGAGTGGGTCTGGGTGATGAGTAAGTATGCAGAGTATGCCCGAATTTGATGTGTGATGCGTGACTGTACAGCGCGTGTGTGTGCATGTGGTGAGTGTGAGTGTGCGTGAGTGGGTATGGACTAAGATCATTCGCGATTGGCACCTCCTTTTGCGCCGCCGACTTGAAAAATGTTTGAGTGAGTCTCAGCGTGTGTGGGTGAATCTGAGAATGAATGAGTGTGAAGATATGAGCCCACGTTCTAGGAGTGAACTTGACTATGAATGCGTATGCAAGACAAGGCCGAGTAATGGGCGAGTATGGGTGTGAGTGAGTCTGACCATGAGAGATTCTGAGCATGAGTGCATCTGAATGACGACGTGACTTGACTGATTCAGAGTGGCGCGCTCGAACCGCACAGCATGGGTGATGCCGCGATGATCCCACGCCCTTCCTCTCCCTTTCCAGACAGCGGCATCGTCAGATCACACTGCCACACGTCGGCTGCGGAGCAGATCGGCGAAGCCGCACGGTCTGAGCGCGATCGAAAACCAAGCGCGGCCATGCTTTGGCTGTCGGCAAGATCGTCGAGCAGATCGTCGAGCGAAGTAGGTGAAGACCTGAAACCGCGCAACGCCGCCATTACCCTGCCAGCCCCGCCACGGCCGCTGGGCGGGAGGAGAATGAGGCTTCTAGCTAGGTCCACGTTTCTATGAGCGGCGAAATAAGAACACACGGTGGACTCATGTCGCGCCCCTCCGAACAGCCTGGACTAAAACTTGACAAAGACCTCGGCTCGCCTCCAGGTCATCGCCCAACTAGAAGAGCCAAGATCCGAGCGAAGAGCCCTTTCAGTGAGCATCTGGAGCAAGGGGGTACCGAAAGAAAGCACTGCGGGGATGCTACTCAGAAGCTTGTCACTGGTGTCGAGGTGCGAAATGATGGTCTCATCCTATGCCCTAAGGCTGCTCCCCTTTGCAGGAAACAACTCGATCGTCTTCTTCGCTAACCGCCTGGATGTGTGCAGTCATTCGATGGTACGAGTCAGAACTCGTCGCAGCTCGGAACGACACTGCTCCGGCTTACGTTTTAAAGCCAGGTGCAGATGAGTCATACAGCAGTTCCGGGACGCAGGCAGTTGTAGGAGACTCCGTGAGCATCTCAATGAAAACTCGCTCCATATTGAAAGCCTCTGCCGTGGGCATGTAAAACTGTACAACGTGCAACACTGATAGAACAGTCATGACATGAGCGGATTTTTCCCCCAGCGCAATTCTGGAGGGGAAAGGGGAGCGGACAAAGCAGCACAATAACAGACTCGGCGACGAAATGGTGAGGCCACTGAGCTACCACAAGTGCCGTGCGCATGAGATCAACTGGAGCGTCCGGCCGCATAGACAAGCAGTCCTACGAGAGATGAAATGAGCGGAACGTTACTTAGACCCAGTGTATTTGACGCGTGCCATTGGCACGGAGTAGACACTTAGCAACAGGTGTAATCCAAAAGTCACGATGGCCACCGCGCCCCCAGAACACCCCCAGACACTTGCCAGGAGGAGGAGGGAGGGGGGAGGGAGGAGGGAGGAGGGAGGAGCACCAGCAGCAGGAGAACAACGACGGAGGCGAGGCGGGCGGTATGGGCTCGCGCGTCCCAGCTCCCCACGGGCGAGGCCTGCTGATCCCTCGAGAAGCGACTCAGGCCGAAGTCGGTCACCTGCCGCCCCAGGGACTGGAGAAAGCGGGGCGACGGCCGCGCTCCGACGCGAGCGCACCTCCCACCGAAGAGGAGGGCAGGATGAGAACGAGTCGGCGACGCGGCGGCACTCTCGGGGTCGGCCAAGAGGGGGGCGTCCAAGAGGGGGGCGGGGGCGCAAATCATGGCCAGCGGCATGTGCGCGACCCAGGGGGGGGGGCAGGGACGTAATGAAAAGAGAAGAGGCGCCATGAAATCTGATGAAATATCATGGCCCACGCCATGACATCCACCACCACCCTAGTGATCACCCCCCTCTTGGCCGCCCCCGACACTCTCGGCGCGGGCCCCCGGCGGCCGGGAAAGGCGGCAGCGGAGGGGCGCCGGCGGCGTCGGCGTCCGAGAGACGGCGAGCCCGCGGCCACGCTGGTGTGCCCCAGAGCGCTCCGAGAATCTCTGGAGCGAGTCGCCCGTGCCCTGGGGCTGCCGGGCACGGATGCCTGCACTGCCCGCGATCTCCTCCCTGTCGGTCGGTCCACCGCCGGCCGACCCGATTCGGCGATCGACCAGCTAGGTGGAGGGGTGACACTGGCTGCCCCCACCCTTCCGCGATTTCGGCTCAGGACGCTGTGAAGCTGACACGTCACTGCATCAAGGGAACGGGGAGGAAGAGGAAAGAACGAAGCTGGAGGACGACGGATGGGCTAGCAGATGCTCACACGAGGGCGCAAACCAGTCTGCAGCGACGGAACCGTGAGCGGCGCTCCGCGATGCGCTCCTCTTGCGCACGCGTGCGCACACGGGCACGTACCCCGAGGCGAGAGACGCGCACGTCAGGGCGCGGCGTGCCTGCCTGGAGGCCACACCGCGCGGCAAGGCTCGCCCACGAGAGCTGGCAACGGCAACCACAGACCCCGGAGAAGTCCACCGGCCGAAGCTGCAAGAACGTGCAAGACTGGAGGGGCCCCGGGACTCACAAATGAATCAACACAAATAACAGGATTCCCCATACTTTACCGTGTTTTCCGGGTTTCTGTCTTCCCCCCACTTCCCATAGTTTCCCATATTTTCCGGGGGATCGACGATGAATTGTGTCTGCGTGTTTTTTGTCCCTCCTGAAAGACGGCTCCCGCATCTGGCAGCGTCTCCCAGCGAGCCCATCTCGTGGGCGAGCTCGCACAGCCTCGGGACTCCGTCAGCTCGAGCGCTGCACCCCTCCTGTGTGATTCGGTATCTGCCGTCCGCCTGCACTGAAGCACAGGAACGGCAGGAAATGACCAGAAAGGGCAGCACAGGAGAGCACAGGAAAGGACAGGAAAGCACAGGACACGAAGGGACAGGAAAGGAAAGCGCAAAAGTGACGCGGCGGGCAGTAGGCAGCCCCGCCTTTGCCATCGGCTCCTGGTCCACTGCCCTGGTGGCGACTTTTCCACGGCACCTTTTCACACGGCGACGGCGGGAGTGAAATACGATACTCCCGGCGGGAGCGCAACATAACAGACCCTGCGGAAAGGAAATTCAATGCAATGGGCTACTCCCTGCGGGATTGCGATGCCGTGCTCTATGCGTGATACCAATGCCATGTAATCTCCTGCGGGAATGCGCTCAGGGTCGGATCGAGAGCTCTGGAGCACACGTCGTGAAAAATCTGCGGACCCCCGCTTGCTGGGGGTGAAAAGGGGTGTGAGATAATTGGCTGTCCCCCTCCCCCTTTCCTTCTCGGATCAAAATCGCGTTAATTGGCGGGGCCGGGGGGGGACCGAGAACTCATCAACGGTGCCCGCAAGGCGATTCTTTCTAACCCAAGAGGGCCTCAAGACTGGCCAAGAGGGCCCTCAGAGACCCCCAGAGCGGTCCAAGAGGAACCCGAGTCGCCGAACGATCGCCCCAAGACGCCCAAGATGGCCCCAGACGACCCACGAGGCCTCCGAGACGCCGCAAGAGGCCTCCAAGAAGCCACCCAAGAGGGCCCAAAGATGCCAAAATCATTGACTTGCCGTAGGGTTTTTGAAAAGTTTGAAGTTCTCGTCTTTTCGGCTTCCCAACGCCACCCAACGGCCCTAGAGGCCCCCGCGATCGCCCAAGACGGCCCAAGAGGTTTCCAAAAGAGCCCCAAAACGGCCTAAGAGACGCCCCAAGACGGCCCAAGAGGCGACCAAGACAGCCCAAGAGGAGGGGAGGGGAGGTGAGGCGAGGCGAGGCGAGGCGAGGCGAGGCGAGGCGAGGCGAGGCGAGGAGAGGAGAGGAGAGGAGAGGAGAGCAGAGGAGAGGCGAGGCGAGGCGAGGCAAGGCGGCGAGGCGAGGCGAGGCGAAGAGAGGTGGAGGAGAGGAGAGGAGAGGAGAGGAGAGGAGAGGAGAGGAGAGAGGAGAGGAGAGGAGAGGAGAGGAGAGGAGAGGAGAGGAGAGGAGAGGGAGAGGAGAGGAGAGGGAGGGGAGGGGAGTGGGCGGAATGGAGCGGAGAGGAGAGGTGAGGACAGGAGACGAGAGGAGAGGAGAGATGAGGAGAGGAGAGGAGCGGAGCGGAGTGGAGCGGAAAGAAAAGGAGAGGAGAGTAGCGAAGATGAAGGGAGGGGAGGGGAGGGAGGGGAGGGAAAAGGAGAGGTGAGGAGAGGCGAGGCGAGGAGAGGAGAGGAGAGGAGATGATATTAGAAGGGGGGAGAGGAGTCGCGGGGGCGGCGAGGCGAGGAGAGGCGAGGAGAGGCGAGGAGAGGAGAGGAGAGGAGAGGAGAGGAGAGGACAAAAGAGGAGAGGAGAGGAGAGGAGAGGAGAGGAGAGGAGAGGGGAGGAGAGGAGAGGAGAGGAGCGGAATGGAGCGGAGAGGAGAGGTGAGGACAAGAGACGCGAGGAGAGGAAAGATGAGAGTAGAGGAGCGGAGCGGAGTGGAGCGGAGAGAAAATAAGGGGAGAGTAGCGAAGATGAAGGGAGGGGAGGGGAGGGGGGGGGAAAGGAGAGGAGGGGAGAGGCGAGGAAACGAGAGGAGAGGAGAGGAGATTAGAGGGGAGGAGAGAATGCGCGGGGCGCTGCGGTTCAAAACGAAGACCCAACACACTTTGGAAGTCAGCGGGCGCAAAGGTGCGCAAGCGGTCAGGCGCTACTAGGGCTGAAGGCGGGGCGCGCCGAAGCAAATTGGGACACGGGGGACAGGGGCGCCGCCGAGAGGACGTGCGAGCTGCGTGCAACCAGCGGGATGCAGGAGCCGGGGCTTGTAGAAAGAAGAAGTGCTTGAAAGGGTACAAGGCGACCGTGTAGAACCTGGGAGGGTACACGGCGCACAGGAGGCCTGCAACGCAGTAGCGGCCGGCCGGAAGACCGCGTAAGGGCAGTCATAGGGAGGGAGCATGGCGCACTTTTCTCCGTCGCAACACAACATAGGCGATCCGCGCGCGCGAACTAGTTGTCCGGCTGCAGGAGAACAAAAAGGGGCGGAGGGCGGCCGCAGAGCCGGGAGAAAGAGGGAGGACACTCACTGCCCGAAGGCCTTCGTCAGGAATGGCCGGTGCGGTCAGCCTGTGCTGAGCGGCCTGGCAGTGGTCGCGGAGCGGCATCGCGGCCACGCCCAGAGGCTCAGGCAGAGGCTACAGGCGCGGAGGGCGTAGCTCAAGTGGCAGCGGTACGGGAGGAGCGGCGAGCGGACCCACAGCAGCGAGAGCAGGAGCAGCCGGGTGTTCCGACGTGTAGCGGTAGGACACAGCCAGTGCTGTAAGGGTACGGCGCCTGCAGGATGTGAGCGTCGCCAGAGCGACCGTGGGGGACTGGGTCCGTTAGGCGGAACATGACGCACACTGAATTGTCCCAACAAAAACCGTTGCAACGCAGCGGGCCAAGGCCGAAGATCATGAAAAGGAAGGCCTTGGCAACAGCATATGGCCATGGAGTGGGAGCACTTGGACAGGCACTGGAACTGTGATGCCCCGTGCAAGTTGAGACGACGGAGCTCAGCGCGGGCAGCCCAGAGCGGGGGCCCAAAGAAAATATATCAAACAGGCGCGCCGTGTGAAAAGCTGGGTAGTGACATCGGGAAGACGCAGAGGGCGCCGCTGGACGGCGAAGGAAGTGGCTGGGCAGGCGGACCAAAGGACCCGAAACACAGGAACGTTGGGAAAAATAATAGAAAAAGGAATCATGTTTGCCAGCGTAGACCCCAAGCAGTAAGGTATGCACTGTGGGTGTGCAAGAAATGTGCCGCAAGGTAGGTTGTGTTGGCTGCGTGGTACAAACCATGCAATACAAAATATGTGGTGCAAGCTGCGTGGTGCAAGCTATGTGGTGTAAGCTATGTGGTCGACGTTATGCGGTGCAAGCTACGCGATGTAAGCTGGGTGCTGTAGGCTGTGAGGCGCAATTTTGTTATTAATACTTTGACTTTATATATGCACATATATATATGAGAGAGAGAGAGAGAGAAAAAAAAAAAAAAAAAAAAAATAAAAAAAAAAAAAAAAAAAAAAAAAAAAAAAAAAAAAAAAAAAAAAAAAAAAAAAAAAAAAAAAAAAAAAAAAAACGTGATCCACCGCCGCTTTACTGTGGAAAATTGCCGCCCTCTTCCTCCGGAACCCGGGGGTCCCCCCCCCCCCGAAAATCCCCCCCCTGCTGGACCCCGCCCCCACCCTTCCCCCGGCAAAACCCCCCCTCCCAACCCCCCCCCCCCTCCTCCCCCTCGAAAACAGGGGGGGGTCACTACCGGTTCGAACCCCCCCCCCCTCGAAAACCGGAGGAGGGGTCACTACCGGTTCGAACCCCTCCCACCACCCCCACTCACCGCCAGCAAACGACTCCCGGTCCCTACCACCGTCCGCACCACATCCCCCACTGTTGTTCCCAGCACCACTGTCCTCACCACCACTGTCCCCACTGGTTCCACCACCGTCCCTACTGTCCCCACCAGTGCCCCCACCACTGTCGCACTGTCCCCACTGTCCCCACCACTGTTCCCACCACGGTTCCACTCTCCCCACTTTCTCCACGGCCCCAACCACTGCCCGACTATCCCCACTGTCCCCACTGTCCCACTGACTCCTCCGCTGTCCCACTGAGCTGTCCCACTGTTCCCACCACTGTCCCCACTGTCCCCACCACTGTCCCCACTGTACCTCTGTCCCATTGTCCCACCGCCGTCCTCGCCACCGCCTTCACCACTGTCCCCACCACCACTGTACCCTCCACTGTCCCACTGTTTCCACCTCATTCCCAGTCCCCACACCACTGTCCCCACCACCACCGTCCCCACCACTGTCCACTGTCCCCACTGTTCCCACCATTGTCCTCACCACTGTCCCCACCACTACCGTCCCCACCACTGTCCCACTGTCCCCACCACTGTCCCGCTGTCCCCTCACCACTGTCCCCACCACCACCGTCCCCACCACTGTCCGCACCCCCCCTTGGTTTTCGAGGGGGGGGGTTCGAACCGGTAGTGACCCCCCCCGGTTTTCGAGGGGGGGGGGGGGTTCGAACCGGTAGTGACCCCCCCCTTTTCATGATGAACTGGGGGGGGGGGGGGGGAGGGAGGGGTTCGAACCGGTAGTGACCCCCCCCCCCGGTCTTCCGGAGGGGGGGGGGGAGGGGTTCGAACCGGTAGTGACACCCCTGGTTTTCCGCCAGCAGCGGTAGAACACGCTCTTTCATATAAATATATATATATATATATATAGAGAGAGAGAGATATAGATAGATATATATATATATACACACACACACGGTGGCAGTTTTGTCGTGCAAGTTGTGTGGTGTAGTTAGCTCACTACAGGGTGCAAGCTGTGTGGTGGACGCTATGTGGTGCAAGCTATGCGGTAAAAGCTGTCTAGTGCAATCTATGCGGCCGCCAGACACGCACGATGCACCCCCGACGCGCCCACGGGCGAGCACCAGGCGAAACCTCGGTACACACGCACACACACACACACACTTTTTGCGTCGGCGGCTAGGAAGGAGCTAACCAAACGGGGGTACCGCTGGAGCAATTTCACCAACATAGAAAGACACACACACACACACACACACACACACAAACAAACAAACAAACAAACAAACAAACAAACAAACAAACAAACAAACAGACAGACAAACAAACAAACAAACAAACAAGCACACCCTGCGCACGAGGCCCCCAAAAGGCGCCCACGGGCGGGCACCAGGCTACACCTCGGCTCACCCACCCAGCGCACGAGGCGCCCACGAGGCGCCCACGAGTGCCCACGCGTGATTACCGGGCGAAACCTTGGCACACTTACCCAGTACGACGCCCCCACGAGGCGCCAACGGGCGCCCGTCAACAGGCCACTAGCCGAAAACGCAGCACACCAAACGAAGAACTGCGTCAAATAAGAGAAGTAAGAACCACTCAGTGCAAGCACTGTTCAGCGAAATGGGAAGGAGGAAAAAGGAAGGGGAGATGAGAGACAGAGAGAGACAGAA